GTGTTGTTCCGTGCGGGAATCGAACCTGCGACACGTTGCACGGCAGCCGGTTTCCCAGCCACCGCACCAACCGTGCAGTCAATATATTTAACAGTATGAATATAATCTATAAGTTATAGATTACTTAAACCCAATAAGTGCTATAATATATCAGTTACCTACCCATGTAACCGCACTTAACCGTTCCTTTAGACGCGTGGGGTCCTAATGACCAATTATGTCTATTGCCAATTTCTACACCAAAGGTATTGATTACATCCTGAGGTTTAGTTTCCCACCTCACTCGTTATATGGACCCTTTAACACCACAATAACCGAAAAAATATAAGAACTTAGTTTTTACTAACCAAAAAATACCTGTAGGTATGTAGGTAGGTACGTCATGGAGTTTCTAAATAGGTACTATGGTGAACGATACGTACGATTTATGATTAAACCCGATTCCGATCCGAATCGATAGAAATCTATCTTTATTTGACAAAACTATCTCTATAAAAATAAAAACACGTGTAACGACTTACGAATCTGTTAATAGAATTTTCCTTTTACTTACCTATATTATGATTATCGACTAAATTTTCCTTGACACTAAAATACATGTTGTACCCACCTACTCCCCGCTGATGGTCATTTATCCCTCTTTGCCTTGATCAAACGGCTTACTTCGCTAGTTCTCTCGATATGCATCGCAAGGTCAATATACACAGAGAGCTCTTATATGCATGAGACTACAATGGCCGGGCAGATCACAAAACGTTGCCGTTTTCAAGTAGTTGCAGATTTCAAGATTGTTATAAGGTTTCGAAGCTATTCTTGATATTTAAGAGTTTTTGAGCTGAAGGCTAAACTCTGATAGACTATAGGTACTATACAAAGGCCTTAGCACGAGTTTATTTTACACTAGCTTTTACCAGCGGCTTCGTTCGCGTCACAAAAGGATAAAAGTAGCCTAGGTGACATAATATACCATTACACACAGCGCCATCTATACCAATACTTTTATTTTCCCTCGGGATTGTCAAATTTTTCCGGGATAAAAAGTACCCTATTATTTAATCCGGCCGGACTTCTAACTTTACGTCTGCAATAATTCAAAGCAATCGGTTTAGTAGTTAAGGCGTGAAAGCGGAACAAACAAACAAACTCACTTTCCGATTTATAATATTAGTAAGGATTAAAAGTAGGTATCGTAATCAAAACGAGACTGGTTGGGTTGGGTTGTTTTTAACCTTGCCAATCAGAGCGCCAAACGGGGTCTTGTTTCGATTGTGCGTGCTTAGCTCCCAGGTCCCAGGTGTAACATAATTGTTGACGATATTTATTAACCTACTTCTTTTTGAAAATCTTATTAACTCATCGCATTGTAGATGCCTATGGCTACAACCAAATTAGTGCCTATGGCTACGAAGAAATTGGATTGTGGCAGCGACAAAAGGCTAATAAGAACATTGTTTATTAACATCACTTATTACTAAAATTAAGATGCCTTTGTAAGATAAAGTTACTTTACTCAACTAAACTCATTGCTGTGACCTAATTAGGTAACTCATTATTTTATCATTTTCTCTATAAATTCTTTAGATTCATATAACTATTAAAATTGAGAGAATGTAATGAACCGTATGTAATGAAATTGACCAACCAACATAATCATAAATAATAAGTGTGGGAGAGCCATGCTTCGGCACGAATGGGCCGGCTCGACCGGAGTGATACCACGGCCTCACAGAAAACCGACGTGAAGCAACGCTTGCGTTGTGTTTCGTCGTGTGAGTGAGGTTACCGGAGGCCCAATTACCTTCCCCTTCCCCAATCTCCCCAATCTCTAAATCCCCAACGATCCTCAAACTCCTAATCCCCAAAAGCCGGTAACGCACTTGTAACGCCTCTGGTGTTTCAGGTGTCAGGCGACGCTGATTGCTTTCAATCAGGTGATCCGTATGCTCGTTTACCGGCTTATGCCATAAAAAAAAATCGCTCACGAGGCGAGTTGTCGGCCAAACGTAGTCCTATTTACAATAAAAAAAACCATCCCTAAAAAGACTACACAACAGAAAACAAAATAAACAAACCTTTGACCAAAATAAACTGCGAAAACTAAATATAGTTTACCTGCATGTCGGTTATTTACGTGGGTCGGTCCGATAGTACGTGACGATCGCTTCCCGCTGCCGTAGCCGAGCTATTATAGGCATACAGGAGAAATATTGCACCAATAACCGACCAGTGTTGGGAAAAGGTGGGATAATGGTACGAAATGGTTATTGTTTTATATTATCTGTGTAGGTAGTGTGGACTGTGGGATGAGAAACTTAATTTTACACTAGTGGTGATTACAGTGTAGCTATTATATTAGTTACTGCACGGTTGGTGCGGTGGCTGGGTAACTGGCTGTCGTCCAACGAGTAGTCGGTTCGATTCCCGCAAGGAGCAACTTTTTGTGCGATCCACAAGTGTTTCAGATCAGGCTGTCATGTGCATATGAACTAGATGTTTGTAAACGACACATAAATAACTCATAGTAAAAGAAAAAAAAACTAGTGATTGCGGAATTTGCTTTGTCCAGCTATATTTTTGCTATACCAAAAAGATTACGTGTTTCTAATTCTAACCATAGAAAATCAATATGTCCACAAGTGGTAGTAGGCTAACTAAAAATAAAACAAAGATAGTTTTCGTATTATCTTCATATTAACATGAAAAACGTAACTTGTCATAAATAATAAAATTTTACAATTTCAGAATTTACAATGTCAAAGTAATGAGAGAAAAAATTAACATCTCGGTTACTGAACAGAACAGAGAACTTACAATTAAATAGAGAAATAATGAAATTGATGTTACGACTCATTCAATGAACAATTCAGCCATACATTCGTCAAAGAATTAGCCTAATCTATCAGTCATTTGAACATAATTTTTATAATTTACTAAAAATTCATCAAAAATGAAATATTTTCCACACTTGATTGCATTGATTACAACGATGCATTGATACCGATCTTGGCAAAATGTTCGCGAGCTTGGATTACTTACACTATTTGAATATGTATTAAAAAATTGAATTACTGCTGAAGACAACATTGAACGACACAGATTATTATCAGATAAGTTACGTACATTAAGACAACTAATTACAAAGATTAGCAACCAAGTGTGAAACCACAGATTCGTATTAACACAAAAAGAACCAAAACAAAGTAATGTTTACTACGATAAACCGCGTTTTTCTAACATAATCGAATGAGCAAAACAATTTTATAAAGCTACCTTGATTCATTATTAACTACACATAAACAGCTTTGCCAACATTGATATAAATTCAAGATATTTTCCGATATTTTCAGCTCTTCAAACTATGTTTGGAATCTACCCGTGTTCGAAATCGTTCGTGAAACTTTCAATATCGGGAAATACTAGAATAAATATGTCGAAAATTGGATTTTATAAGTTAATTTGCATCAGATACATCAAAGTTAGAAATCACATCAGTCTAACTGATCAGTTGGACTTCAAAAGAAACGACAAACGGGTATAGAAAAGATGAATAATTAGTTACAGAAGTTTCAAAAACTTATAACGAATATTATTACAAGGTAAAGACACGCCGTTCGACCCTCCTTTTAAAGCTCAACCGGTATAAATATATGATTATATAAATATAGTTTAAATACACAGAAATGGAAGAATTACATTTACACAGCGTTGGCATCGAATACATTTATTATTTTGTAGTTAAAGTATATGCATATAAGCTATTATTTCGAAGGTAAGAAACTATAAGGATGGATAAATAGATATTGCTTAACACAGCTGTATTCCCATCGCACAACCGTGACAAATTATATGCAAGACATAGACAGGAATATACGCCGTCAAGTGCTAAGCAATATTTATTTATTTAGTAAAGTTTATCTACATTGTTACATTCATACAGTCATACATACATTCAATGCGTTATCAAAAGCTACCTGTTTACCATCGTCTAAGAGACTCGCTCTCAACTTGGCAAAACTCATTCCTTTTGTCTCTGAACAATTATTTACACATACATTATCTTAGGTACAAGGAAATGAGTTCGCCATTATTTCGTTCCCAATTTAGGTTTTTTCGTCCGACCGTGGATATGGTGTTACTTGTTTAATAAGCACATTGACCGACACAGCCTTTCCATATTTTAATTACCCTTCATACCGAGCCTTATTCTACCTAGGATTTCACACACGCGGTCATAACGACATTTTAAAGACGCATTTAATCATCACAAGAGATTTATTCCCAAAATATTTTACGTCAATTTATTACACCGATATTTGATTTGGTTCTACCACACATTTAGTCATTCATATATTAGAAAAAACAATGATTATGAATTTGATGTCAAGCAAAAAGATATTATTACATAATATGAGTATTAAAACAGTACCAAAACGTCGTACATATAGGTACAATACTGATTCATTCAAGCAATAATTTCAATATTAATACATCCACTGTCGGACAATGTATTCCAATTGATTTCGTAAAACACACGCATAAAAAACGGTCGTAATATCAACAACTAACTAAATTACGCTATTGTAGTTTCACTACATTCCGCTAGTTTCACAAAAATATCCATTCTGCGAGGGATTCTAGCACCTCTGTCGTTGGAAACGCGTATCGATATCTTTGGGAGATACTCGTCAAAATGTTACATTAAAATGGTATGAAAAGTTAGAGGTTAGTGACGATGTACAATGACGACTACAGGATAAATTAATTCAATAAATAGTTGAATAACACACGTCGCGTCGTCGAGATAACAATTTGTGAACTTATTTTATGTACAATTAAATACTTAAAGCTAGACGTAGTGTCGTAATATCATAAGGTTTATGACTGGATAACTCACTGTCGGTAGTCGGTGTCGACTGAATCACAAGCGTTACTATACAACTAACAGACACTATCGCCTCATGCGTTTGTGTCTGTGGCCCTTGCGGCATTATGTGAAGTCATTAAACTGCGCCAGGGCCGTCTTCACTCTGCAACAAAACCATTCAAGTTATTGAAGTGTCTGTGGTATACTAGGACTTTTGTTCATCATCATCAGCTTATTTTCAACGTTTTATATGCATAAGCTGCATCCACGCTTATCACTAGGCGAGATAGTGGCCAGACGTCGGCCCGTTAAATATATTATATAAAAAATTATAACTGCTTTGTCTGCATTTTTCAAAAACAATTTATATTTTTTTTATTTTACGAAGATGAGTAATCATAAAGTACATTAGCTACCAGTCAATAAAACTCCTTTCAAAATCGGTCCAGCCATTCCAGAGATTAGTCAATACAACCAGACAGACAGACAAAAAGTGTCATTGTGGTATAATTATGTATCGTATGTGTATTCATATGCATGTAGTAAAACGCGGTTATTTCAATATTACAAACCGACACTCGAATTTTATTTATCTGTATGGATATTGTAGTACGTACTTGTCGTGCAGATGAGCGGCGTCGTGCCTTGCGCGCAGTAGTTTGAGCGCGCGCAGCACGCCGAGGTCTGCGAGGCGCGCCTGGCGAGCGGCCGCGCCCGCCTCGCCGCGCCACACCAGGTTGCCCGCCACGAACAGCGCCGCCTCCTGCAGCTTGCTCTCCGGGTGCGCCTGCGACCACTCACTACTGCGTCTCACACACTACTAACTAATACACTACTAATCCAATTTGCGGGCCACGTAAAGCCCTTGAATTGGCGGATTACCGAAACTTTTGATATTTTCACGCTTGGTGTCATTTTCAAGCAATTGGTTACCGGTAATACAATTAGTGTATTAACATCATAGTAACGTACTACAGTCGCGCAATGAGCACGGTAAACGGTAATCGTCATTTTGCTATGCTTACGATCATGATGAAAAAAAGAAGACAACCTATGAAATCTCAGATATAGAAATATCAGAGAATCAAAAGATATACGTCTCTAGTTTGACATTACTGTCGATACATAAGTTAAGAACTTATCTTTAGCTAAGGCTCAAACAAACATATAAAATTGACGTTAAATAAATAAACATTATACTTATATCTAACACAGCATACACTGACAAAAAGCGACACTCCCATTCACACACAAAAATCATGTGATACGGAGATGTCTCCGTATAATATCAATTTCAAAATACATCATAAACAAGAGAACTTTAGATTCAATATTCAATGACAATTAACATCGCGGCCCATTCGTTCGATTTAAAATACGTCATAATGCAGACAACTTTAAGGTTGACATTTCAATGTAAATTAAATCGCGGTTCATTCATTCGTTCCCTGGCATCGTTTACAAAGTGACATACCTTCCGTCGTCACTTGCACGGCCCACTGAATCGCTCTCGTCACGTACTCGGTGGAGGATTGTCCCCACGACAGTTTCGAGGCCTGGACCTAAGGCCAACATCCCAACATCATCAGACATTCTTGCAAAAATGAACACAAACATTCATTTTAACAGAAACGTCTCTAATTTGTCGACTGTTAGAGTGGAGGGGTAAAGGCTATGTTAAGATCGGGTATTTTAAAAGGGTTTATGAATTTCTACTGTGGTTTACCAATCATCCTCACTTGCGTCCATCGCTTTCACACTTTTATTGATCCTATTTAATTATAATGCTTAATATATTAAAATTTAAACACTCCAGTCATACTGCTCGCAATTTAAAAATCACTCATTCATCCTGTATGCAATACATATTGGTTAGACAAGCCTAGCGAAGATATAACAAGAAAGATATACGAAATTTAATCAATTACAACAGACCAATCACAGAAACGTTGCTTGACATTTGACTCTTATTCTGTAGAAGTAAGGTCGATATTAACTCGTTTAAAATGTCGTTTCTACTAAGCCGCCATTGATAAATCTATCGACAGAGGATTTAACAAGGCAGTCATGCATGAGATAATGAATTTAATTTACATGTCAATCAAGGACAATGAATAATGGTGAATTTATAAATAACAAAACTGAGTGGTGGAATAATATTCGCCAATATTTGTGGACGGTCGATAAACAAAATGTATCAAGATTTATCACAATAAAGGGCTCAAAATTAATGACCTTAACATCATGGTAAATACGAGAACTAAGTCCACAACATTTACTTGCAACTGAAAGATAACCGATGACACTGTCCCTTTTTCGCAAAAAATCACAAATCGTAGACTAAGCAAAATGATGAGAAGCGCATATGAGAAAACTGAAAGAACAAAACGAAAATGATACCTATAGGATGAAAAATACATGACAGAAATATAAGCAATTTTCTTACCAAATAGTCCACCAGTTTTCTAAGTACATCCTCGTTGGCCATGATGAGATCCTTGGCTTTCTCTCCATCTCCGATGTTGCCAAGGATGCAAAGCGCTTGCTCCTTCACCTCGGCAGGGTAGGATCCTTCTAGCACTACTATTACAGCCTGGAAAAATGAATAGGTATTTTTGAAGTTATGTCAGATATTTCCATTAGACGAGAAAGACAATTTGTTTGTTTGCAAGTCGGTGCTTTTAATGAAGAATTTTGTTTGCTCCAAAGTGTTTAATCGACAATTTCTTTAGAAGTCTTGTAGTGGGACTGGGACTAAGAAGCGTTACTGGGACCAAAAGTGGGACTTTTTTTTAAGGGGGGAAAATCATCGAATGACTGCTCCCGCCTGGGTGAGGCGGGAGGGAGTGTCAGACTCTTACTGACTAAAAATCACCCCGTTCCTTTCCTGCACGTCGAGCCGGAGCCCCGGTAACCCGTTATTTTCTCCGCGACACCAAAAGTGGGACTGGGACTAAAATATATATCGGAACTAAAAGTGGGATCGGAACTAGTATTTGGACTGGATCTCAAAAGTTTGACTGAGACTCAAAGTAGGACTATGAGCGGGACTGGGACTAACCGTGGGCCTTACAGTAAGAGTGGGATTGCGACTAGAACTATTAAAACTGGTAATCGAAACTTAGAAAGTAATTAAAAGCATAACAAAACTTAGATAGCTTATGTTGACATTATCCTTACTATCCTTACTAATATTATAAATCTGAAAGTGAGTTTGTTTGTTTGTTTCTTTGTTCCACCTTCACGCCGTAACTACTCAACCGATTGCTTTGAATTTTTGCAGACGTAAAGTTAGAAGTCCGGATTCAATAATAGTCCGGAAAAACAAAAGTATTGGTATAGATGGCGCTATGTGTATTGGTATATGTCACATAGGCTACTTTTTATTCTTTTGTAACGCGAGCGAAGCCGCGGGTAAAAGCTAGTGTTATATAAATGATCATCTTTATAGAGCTACCTGCATAACTTGCGAGGAGTACTCGCTCATGATGGCGTCGATGTGATGCCTGGTGGAGAGCAAGTTCCGCAGTAGTCCGAGCGTCTTCATAATGACGCGCGTGTCGCTGTCGCCCAGCAGACGGAACATCTGCTCCGTGCCCAGGCAACTTAGGATGCGTTGTTTTACTTTTTGTTCGGCCTGACAATATATATAAAATCACTTTTTAATCGTTGTGTAATTGTTTTAGAACCAAAGTCTTTCCTTTCGTGTCTGTCTGTATAAATGCAATTAACTAAACGCTACTGGATTGTTGTACAATTTTCCCTAATAAATAGGGTGACCCGTGAAGATTTTGTGTATAATTTATTATGGTTTTGATCACGCGCGTGAAGTCGCGAGCAAAAGCCTAGAAGGAGTATATTTTTTAATAACTATCGTGAGACATACTAAATTAAGTAAAAATCGCGGGTTACTCGATACTAATAGAGCTTTTCTCAGTATATTATTCACGTAACCAGCGATTTTTAGTTAATTTAATACATTTTTTAATATACACCCATGTCTAAAGCATCTAAAACTTATCTTTAAACATGCTATTACAGTTAACATACATTTCGTTCTTTACCTGAAAAGCCATATTCATAAGCGCCCAAATTCCATTCAGTCGCAGAGCTGCTTCGGGCATTTTCGTCAAATTACACAACATTTCTACTGCACCTGCAAAAATAACAACAAATTAAGTAGATACGAAGGACATCACTTACTCTTGACGTAAAATACATTCGTTATTCTTACTAACATACTACAGGACAAACAATTAGACCAAATATTTGATATGTGTGTACAATTTTAAGTGTCGGAGAGCCATGCTTCAGAAAGGGGCTTACTCGACCGGGTTGATACAACGACCTCACAGAAAACCGACGTGAAGCAACGCTTGCGGCACTTCGTCATGTGAGCGAGGTTACCGAAGGTCCAATTACTCCCCTCCCCAATCCTAGAATACCAAAATTCTTCAAATTCATAATGTTCCGGGTATCCATGGGCGGCGCCGATTGCTTACTATCAGGTGATCCGTCTGCTCGTTTACCGGTTTATTCCATAAACAAACAATATCAATATTAGGTTACATTCGTTACAAACCTTGATCCAACATTGGTTCTTTAGCTGGTGAAAATTCCAGAAGTAAATTGCAAAGTGTTGATGAGCCTACAGTAAGGAGTTCAGTTCCAGGCGAGTCCCCTAACAGTTGCATTAGAGGTTTCCATACGGCATGATCCTGAAAACAATAACGTATGAAGTAATTCTTCATTCTAATTTGAACTTTATCACTATAAGAACAAGTTATATGTTAAATTGTTACCTGAAATGTTGTTCGTAGTTGTTGCACAGATCTTGAAAGTGAGTGTAAGCACCTTACTGCTGCTAACCGTACCTGAAATATATGGAAGACATTGTCTGTTGATCAATTTTTATTCATAATAGTTTGTATCATACCTCGAAAAAGTCAAATAACAGCATTGACTCCGGAGTCACTGCGATAATTGATTTACAACCTTATTCTTAAACAATAAGAAGGTAAAACTCATACAGACATCTCTACACAACCATTTCAAAATAAAATGCTTTTAAACATAAAGAACACATTACATTAACAAGTTCAGAATAAAATAACTATTGACTTTGTCTGCACGGTTGGTTCTGTGGCTGGACAACCGGCTGCCGTGCAATGTGTCGCGGGTTCGATTCCCGCACGGAACAACACTTTGTGTGATCCACAAATTGTTGTTCCAGGTCTGGGTGTCAAGTGTATGTGAACTTGCATGTTTGTAAATGCACCCACGATACATGAGGAAATCCTAGTGTGGGGCAATGTTTAAAAAAAAAACTAACCGAAGCCTCAGGATTGTTCATTCCATTGACAACATGGACCATCAGACCGTGAGTTTCAATGATCCTCTTCCTAATGTCTTCATCGTTGGCACCGAGGGACGCGAAGCATTTGAAAGCACCTTGCTTGGCGGCCGGAGACGGACAGTTCACTATCTCTGCTAGTGACGTCATCAGGTGGTTGGATATAGCCGCCAACCGTTGAAGGGATGTGTCTACCTAGAAGTATGGAGAACAGATTAGTTTAAGATTTTATTCTACTAATATTGTAAATGCACAAGTTTGTATGTTTATTTCTTTGTTTCTGCCTCGTTGCCTCGTTGGCCTCGTTGGCCGAGTGGTCGCAAGTGCAACTACCGGGCAAGGGGTCTCGGGTTCGATTCCCGGGTCGGGCAAAGTATTACTGGGTTTTTTAATAAAATCTCAGTAGTAGCACGGAGTCTGGAATTGTGCCCGGTATATGGCAATAGGCTCACCCCCTATTACATGGGACTCATAACAAAAATAGTGAAAAGTGGGTGTTAAGTACTTCTGTGTGCACCTCTGCCTACCCCTTCGGGGATAAAAGGCGTAATGTTGTTAATGTTGTTGTTCTTTGTTTCTTTGTTACGTCACGACAAAACGGCTGAAGATATCTAGATGAAATTTGCAACAAGGGTAGATTATGGTATGAAATAAAACTTAGACTAGTTTGTATCCTAGGGCAAAGCGGGCGAAGCCGCTGATAGAAGCTAGTTTAACGTAATAGTGAAAGAGGTATATTTAAATCGTATCATGTGACATTCTATTCTACCTATCTCTACCTGTCGCGGAGAACCTAACGGGTAACCGGGGCTCCGGCTCGACGTGCAGGAGAAGGAACGGGGTGGTTTTTAGTCAGTCTGACACTCCCTCCTGCCTCTCCCAGGCGGGAGCAGTAATACGGTGATTTTCCCCCTTAAAAAAAAACCTATCTCTACCTACCCGTGATATGCAGTCGTGGCGATATGTATGTTGTTCTGGCTCGTTTAGAGCAAAGACTTCTTTACTTACATCACATTTAGTGCCTTTTGATACATTCTGCTTGGTGCCGTGTGCCCGCTGACAAATGTACGTGTGAAACATGGCTATATACTTTTTGCCCCGAGTCGCTAGCACCGGACCGTGTGAAAAAGCCTTTAAAGTTGTTTTGGGCTCTTTTTCAAAACTCATTACTAAGAAAAACCTACAGAGTGATTTATTTCGTAACCGTCTACTAATTTCTTTGTTATCCATTACATTATGATTCATTTTACAAAGCCAGTTAATGTTGTATTAGCAAGTAAAGATAAATACTAATATTATTGACGATTAATAGTTAATGCTCTGTCTTAGTAAGGTCAACAGTTCAACAAAATGAACAGCTGCATGACCTATTGTCACAAGAGTATTAGATAAATAATTAATATGTGTGTAATAGTGTAATATATATGTGTAATTGCAAGTAACAATGGAGTCCGTAATTACAAAATATTTAAACAAAATTAAAATACCTGAAACTAGCACACTAGATCTCAATGAAAGTAAATTTAAAACATATTATATTAAGCGCGAATTATGTAATCAAGCTTATTACAAACTGACATTCGAATCTACATTTTGGAATGAGCACCTAGCTTCACTGACGGACTGACTGCCAGCTATTATTTATTTTGTATTTGTTGATGTTTCAAAAGTACCAAATTATGGTTTAATTGAAATAAATGCTTTGACTTTGACTACAACAAAGCATTATAGTTTCCACTAGAGGCGCTACTGTGGCACAACGCCTATGCTTATTATTTAAACTGCCCACTACTAGAATTTTCTTTTAGACCCGTACTATAGAACAATACTCAAGCGTAGATCTCTTCTCAATTCCAGATAAAAAGGGATGCAAATACATTCAATAGATACGTGCATCTCTTTCCTACTATACTAGAGGTTCACTGCTTGAGTATCATTCTATAATAGATGGTCTAAAACAAGTAATGGCAATTAGTACAATTTTATTGTTCTCAAACTTATTTTCTTTTTCTATCTTTTTGACTGAATATTAGTGTTACATTGTTCTCACATAATGTAACCAATAATTGTATGCGAACTTCATTGAAAAAGAGTAACCTAAGGAGTTTCTTGCTCGTTCTTCTCGATAGGAATCTACACTTTGGAATGAACTTCACTAGAGAACTGACATTTTTTAATATTCATTTGACGTTCAAGAGTGCCTATTGAATTCTGACTTTGACTTGTCTTTAACTATACAGTCTACTCATGAATAAGATATAGTCTACTCATGAATGAGATGTTCTTACATGAGGCAACTGTAGCATACCTCTGCTAAGTAAGCTAAGGTCTCGGCGGCCGACGCCCTGATGTCCTCCGGCATGTCCTTCGTACACAGTCGGGCGAGGCAAGGGAGAGCACCAAACACCACTCTGGAATACAAACGAATAACATCTTTAAAGCTGTGTAAATAAGGTTTACATTATACTTTTAATAAAATATGAATGGTCTATGATGTAAAGAGATATAGGGTACATGAATAACATCTTTAATGCTTTATAAATAAGGAATATTTTACTATTTTATACATGGATGATTAATAGTGTCGAAATGTCACCCTCAAAGCGTTATGAATATAATATTAAGTATCCTATTTATCATTATAGCTCCTACATAATGAAAGAACCAAAATATTTTCTTGGTCTAAGTAATTTACGGAGGGCTTCACACGAATTGACTGTACGGTTGGTGCGGTGGCTGGGCACCCGGCTGCCGCACAACGTATAACGGGTTCGATTCCCGCACGGACCAACTGTTTGTGTGATCCACAAATTGTTGTTCCGGGTCTGGGTGTCATGTGTATGTATGTTTGTAAACGCACCCACGACGCAGGAGAAAATCCTAATGTAAAGCAATAAAAAAAAATAGTTTTACGTTTAAAGACATCGAAACGAGACCGCGTTCGGTGCTCTGATTGGCCGACTCCAATGAACAGACCAATGAGAGCATCGACTGCGGTCTGTTTTCGATCTCGTTGAACGTTAAACAAAAAAATCGTTCTAAACCCTCTAATCTATTGATGGCCTTAATTTAATTATAACTATTTTTATTTTCAGGACATGTTTTGTCCAAAGTATCCTTTACTAATAATCAAAATATGAAAAGCCAAGAAGTCTAGACTCTAGACTACACTTATATTCAAGTACAAGACACATTTGTTTGGTGCTGATAGCAATCTGACATTGACCTGCGTGCTGATACCTATCAAAGTTTATACAAACATGACACTTACATAACAAAATGTTGAATACCTACACACAAAGTAAATAGAGATACTTCTGTACAGAATTATTGATTCAGTTATTTTTATAGCGACCATATTAACTTTTTCAGATGACTGGTTGATGGTACTATCATCTTTAATATGAATATGCGAACGTTCCCGTCATTGAAATGATGGAAGAAATAAATAGTGTATTAAAATTCTAAAACAATTAGGTTTGTTATTGTTATACTTGTTCTGATTAAGTAACAAACTTGAGGTAAAAAGTGAGTCAGTAAATATTTTGCTTTTAGTAATTTTACAAATTGATGTTACATACTAAGACAGTACTATTAATCCCACTTAAAAGTCTTCAGTTTTTGTAATTTCCAACAACAGCCAATAGTACCATAGAATCTGAAATTGTACTTATTATATGGCAGATATACAGATTTATCATATTCATTTATTCATATTATCATAGTAATAAAATAACTACACATACCGAGTGTCGTCAGCAGGTATGGCATTAGCGCGATGCATGAATGTAAGACACCGCGCCGCCCCCATCGCCACCGGCAGCGGCTTGTCGCGACACACCAACGTAGACAGCAGCTCTGGTATCGTCTTGTCACCGTGCCTTTAAACAAAAATGTTTGTTATAAACTACGATAACGATACGTTAGAAAGAAAATCACATATAGTAACCAAGGATGTCCTAAGAACCGACTTGAAAGTACATTTGACATAAACCGGTAGTAACACTCACCAATAGATATAAACTTTTTAAACCATCTCCAGCCGCCTGTCTGTCATGGAAATTATGGTATTAGAGAAGGCTCAGTCCAGATTTAACTGTCACTGGCTGGATTTAGAACTCCCGATACATTATGTATCTTAAGTTAAGTTTAACCAGCATTGATACGACAGTATCCCATATTATTATACTTTTTGGTGGATTACATCAGTCCACTTTACCCCTCACGACTCCCCCCATAAATTGCGTATAAGATCTGAAATTCACATAATAATTTATACAATGTATATTCTCATGCCAATCGCTCCCATTTGTTATTTAAATACCTTCCCTTTCTTGGCAACTGACAATGAACTTTGTCAAAGTCGAATCAATGACAAAACGGACCAATGCAAAAATGTAACGATACAAAGATTTCATTTTCATCTTAATATTCCGTAAACAGTAAAAATTTATACTTTGACTTAAAGAATTTTAGTTACATTTAGCATCACTACCTACATGGTACTAAACAAAGTCAAAGTCCAAAATCATTTATTTCAATTAGACCAGGAAGGCACTTTTGAACGTCAGCAATAGAAATTTAAAAGTGAAGCTATTCACTTTCCGCTGTCCGCCGTCTGTCCCTATAATATACGCTTAGATCTTTAAGCATGGAACTGGCTGACAAATAGCTGTACCTGATTGACTTTATTTTCTCTGGATAGACTTGATGGATTAAAATAAATAAAGCAAAATATATTTTGTAACTAGGCTAGGAAACAGAAGTTTTATACGACAATATATGTAGATGAAGCCGACATTTCCTATTTATCTACTCTAAGAAGAAACGGTAAACTATATTACAATTATTTTATATTATAATATATATGTAGCTGTTGCGGAGAACCTAACGGGTTACCGGGGCTCCGGCTCGACGTGCAGGAGAAGGAACGGGGTGGTTTTTAGTCAGTAAGAGTCTGACACTCCCTCCCGCCTCACCCAGGCGGGAGCACTCATTCGATGATTTTCCCCCCTTAAAAAAATATATGTTTGTGTATATATACATATTCTAGCTATATTATATAGTTAGCTATATATTTTTTTTTTTTTTTTTAAAAAAACGTTGCCCCACACTAGGATTTTCTCCTGTGTCGTGGGTGCGTTTACAAACATACAAGTTCACACACACATGACACCCAGACCCGGAACAACAATCCGTGGTTCACACAAAGTGTTGTTCCGTGCGGGAATCGAACCCGCGACACGTTGCACGGCATCCGGTTGCCCAGCCACCGCACCAACCGTGCAGTCATATATGTTTAAAATAAATAAAGTATATATATGTTTTAAATATGTTATAGTCTTCAATAATTACTAATAGTTTTTGTTTTATTTTTCTGCATGTTACGCAAATCTTTTTTCGCTGATTCTCTACTTAACTCAAAGGTTGCCCAGTCAACCAGTCAAAGAAAATGCTATAATTATGGCATTAAGTCCGCCGTATGTACCTTATTTTTTGTGTGCATTAAAGAGTTAATAAATAAATGATTAAACTTTTGAAGTCAGTAGATAGAAGTACAATTTATTATTTAACTACTAAATTATCATATTGAAATTCAAGTAAACACTTCATGTCTGGTACTGTATAAGTACCGATAGTAGATACTTATAAACCGTGTGCTATTATTCGACTTGGTAACTAGAGTTATCAAGTTGTTGCAAATAGCGAAAGCTATTAACTATAAACATTAATAGATTAACAACTTCGACGCAATGTTCTGTGGAGCAATAATAAATTACTGCAGCAGAAATAAATAGCTACTCTAATTCAATAATTTCTCAACAACATAACATAACAACATAACATCACGCCTTTTATCCTCAAAGGGGTAGGCAGAGGTGCACATTATACCACTGTACAATGTAACACCCACTTTTCACTATTTATGTTATGAGTCCCATGTAATAGGGGGTGAGCCTATTGCCATATACCGGGCACAGTTCCAGACTCCGTGCTACTACTGAGAATTTTTTAAAAACCCAGTAATACTTTGCCCGACCCGGGAATCGAACCCGAGACCCCTTGCTCGGCAGTCGCAATTGCGACCACTCGGCCAACGAGGCAGTCAATAATTTCTCGAGATACATATAAACTATTTTCAGTTTAATATATTTTACATTTTAAGACATATCGAGACAAACATAAATACTATTTTATTTAGTAAATAATGCCACGTTGGTCGAGTGGTTACAAGTGTGACTGCCGGGTAAGAGGTCTCGGGTTCGGGTGAAGTATTACTGGATTTAAAATATGTGTCAGTAGTAGCTCATAATCTGAGACTGGAATTGTGCCTGGTATATGGCAATAGGATCTATTACATGGGATGTATAAAATAAATAGTGAATAGTGGGTAATAGTGTTACATTGTACAGTGACATTAAGTACCGTAATGTGCACCTCTGCCTACCCCTTCGGGGATAAAAGGCGTGATGTTATTTTATTATGTTGTTAATATAAAATAATAATATAGTATAGCAACAAGTAAAAAAATATATGAGTGCCATAGACTCCAAAAACAAAAAAATCGTGACATAATATGCAGTTACATCATCACCATAACTCCAATAAGTAACATAAATCAATACGTAGCTCTTTTCTCTTTCACACCTATGAGAGAGAGTGAGATAAAAGAACTAAATACCATAATAATACAAAGTACCTTTAGGCGCTGTTAACACTAGTAGAAGTCAATCAAGTTCAACTCAAAACTCATAACTTTCAAGGCCAAGGCCACACCTTTAAATATTAATGTATAAAAAAAACTAAATATACCAACTTCTTGATAACTTGGCTTGGTTATGGTATATTTGTCAACTTGAAAAAATAACATAACATAACACCACGCCTTTTATCCCCGAAGGGGTAGGCTGAGGTGCACATTATGCCACTGTACAATGTAACACCCACTTTTCACTATTTATGTTATGAGTCCCATGTAATAGAGGGTGAGCCTATTGAAAACAATATATATATTTTTAATGGGATAAGCCGGTTAACGAGCAGACGGAGCACCTGGACACCTGAAACACCAGAGGCGTTACAAGTGCGTTACCGGCCTTATGGGAATTGAGGATTGTAGGGGAATTCGGGAATTGTAGAAACGGGGGGGGGGGGGGGTATTTGGGCCTCCGGTAACCTCACTCACACGACGAAACACATCGCATACTCACGGGAAGAGCAGTAATGGTGGTTCTACTCGGCAAGTACAAAGGTAAGTTTTGTACAAATTAATCTATTCATCACATTATCGAATATCTTTATATTGGTCCTAAAGTATAACACTTTTTGATGATGATGAAAGATATTCGAGTGTTTGCTTAATTGGATTATGATATTACATAATAACTGTAATACAAAATTAGCTTAGTAAAATATAAGTGCGATTGAAACTAAATCATACTGCATAGTATCTAAGTTTCATAAATCCGTGACAGATACGGCCGAAATTTATAATTTTTCATCACTTCTATTTCCGTCAAAACCTCCATCAATTCAGAGATTTAAAATTTGGATCTCGCTTATTTATTCCATCCTTAAAATGTATTAAGATTAAGACAAAAATGTTCTTACCTAGTATTCAAAGCTATCTGCGAGACACTAGTATTTTCAAAGCACATAGCAGCTAGAAGGTCGAGAGCTGGAAGGGCTGGCGCGGCAGGTGGAGTGGCGGCGAGCAATGCTGCAGCAGCTTCACAAGCTCCCGCAGCACAAAGCGCCTCCTGCTCTCCTGCGCCCGTGCACCAGATCGAGAGGATCCTCACCACACACGCTCTAGCCGTTGGTGATCCCTCCCGCGCTATTTCTGTTGAACATTGTTAATTTCTGACTGACAAGTAAGGTCTCTGATTATGAGTATGGGCTGTGCAATCTATCATTAGGTTTTTTGAAAATGCACAATACTAGCAAGAGTCTGGAATTCAGTCTGGTACTTAGAATTGGGAATATATATTTGTACAGTATAAATATTTGGGAATGAATGAGAAAATAAAATAATAGAAAACAAGTATAATAAAATGTATATTTACCAAAATATTTACGTTTATTAGTTACAATCTTGGTAAGAAATAAATAGGTAGTATAAGCTAGTATGGTACATACCACTGATACATATGAAGCGAAAGAGGTATGTAGGAATCGTAGTAATTGGCGTTCCATAGTCTCTGCCTACCCCATAGAAGACAGGCGTGAAGTTATGTATGTATTATTACATACGTGTATAATTTAACGCTTATTTCATAAACAAAGAGTAAACAATACATGACATTGAACATACTTAACATAATCTTCAATTTTTCAATCAAGTTTTTATATGAAAATACACAGATTTCTAAAATGTCATAATTTATTAAAAATAAAACTTTATGTTTAGAGTTTAGAGTTTATTTTCTACTGCACTAGTAGAAAGTAATACGAGATCGTTAGACAGTTGAACAGCACCAGTTGAAATTATTGCATAATCGAACATTTTTGCTAAGATAAATGTTTACATTGGAATCGCTCGGCATAGATTATAGATTGTCAGCAAAAGTAAACTAGGAAGTCAATAGGAAAATCTGTCAATATGCTTTTTAAGTTGAGACTGCACAACACTTTAGTGGCCAATGTGAGATTGATGCTTTTATTTATTAGACCGGTCTTTAGGCATTAGTCACTAAGAATCCATGCATCTATCCATCAATCCAAGTCCATACAATGGTCACAACCTTTCCCGATGAGATATAAGAGTATGCCAAAATTGAGCAGAAGATAATTTCTATTTAGTATCTTTCACCTGATATAAATCTCCATAATTTGTTCATACAAAAGTAGTCTCTAAACATCGGAAATAAGGTCTATAATGAAGTTAGTAAAGAGCGGTAACCGGTGACCACTTGTGGCTTGATCAGGTAATATTATAATAGATACCCAATAGTCTAATACCCCATAGTATATCTAACCAGTGTGGGGTCAACAAAAACCTATGTATTCACCTCACTTCTCCTGACATTATGTAACTAATATAAATCTTTGATTAACTACCACCTACAGCTTATCTAATTGTCTTGCAATCTTACATGTAATATGATGTGCATTATAATTGAGAAATGTAAGAACATTATATGTGACCTTGTGGCATAGAAAACATTCACCGTTTACGAAACAACCTTCAGCGAAGTGAGATCAGAACATTGCAACATCTGCAACTACTATTATCTTTAATTGCAAAGCTGATGGACTGGATGAATAATTGCATGTATTATTATTTCGAGTATTTTAATATTAATAGAGGACGTGGCGAACTTTCTCACACCTTGGTTTTCTAGCCATCTCGTTCATTTTTTTTACATAAGATCTTCTCCTAACAAATCGGTTCAGCTGTTTTCGAGATTAGTGCTTAACAACACATTTATCAATGTATTCATTTAGGAGGTGTAGGAAAGAGACGAAAACAAAGAGGTCCCTAGACAATTTAAATTGAAATGTTTCTTAAACAATTTTATAATAAACTATTATTTGAATAGATAAGTACCTACTCACTGTTATTAATAGTACTCAAGAATGCAGGAAGATAATATTGGTTTAGAACTCTTTAGTTTGCATTACTATTGCATTACTAATCAGAAATACTATACTTAGTATGTAAAGTCTCAGTTCAAGTGTTATTATGATGTTATATCAAAACAATTATTATTAAATTACATTTCAAATGTATACATTATAATAAAATCGTAGGAAAGTGAAAACTGTACATCCAAATTTTTTTAAAAGAATGCTTTGGCCGTGGTCTACAGTCAATACCGAAACCAAAATTATGGTATTTGTAATTTTTGTCTGTTTGTCTGTATGTGTATTCGTACATGTGTACATGAATATTATACTAACAGGTCGGGTCAACATATAGGCTACATATTATCATGCTATCAACTACGGGGAGGAGCTGTGAATCACTATTCTACACGGACGAAGTCGCGGACTCAGCTAGTATCTGAATATGCAAACATCTATCAGTTTTAGTTACACTCATAAAAATAAAAGACATTGCTTTCAGAATTTCAGATAAATAGTATTGTATGCCTACAAAATATATAAATACTAGGTGCTGCCAACAGCATCGCCCGCATTCTTGTTGGATAAAAAGTCTGTTATTTTAGACCATAATCACCCCTATTCCAAATTTCATTTCAATCTCTTCAACCATTTCGATGTGAAACTTTCGCATTTATAGTATTAGTAGGATAAATAAGTTTCTCACTTACGCGTAAGTCTGCTCAATAGCCTCATATCTGCAGGTAAAGCCGATATTGGTGCCGGTGGATGCAGGAACACACTCCTTAGGGCACATAGTCCAGCTTCTGCCAACTTTGTACCAACAGGGGCATTCCTTAAGAGGTCCACTAGTGCTGTCGCTGTGCCTTGTTCTACTAAAGATCTTACATTTTCTTCTGTACCTTTGGCGAGGGAACCTGTGTGAATAAAATATAGAAGTTATGGCTGTCAGACTTAGGTGACATCGGGCGTGTCATCTTGTTTCCCTATTCTTGAAAAATAGTAACAAAAAACATATAAACAATGTCACGATGTCATTTTATAGGTCAACTATTTGTCAGTATCATAAATCTTATAGGACTTGAATTTTATTAAGTTTGGACCTCGGCATGAAAGTATTTGTAAAGAGAGACATCTTTTTAGCATAAGAAAATTTAATTGATAATTTAGAAGCTTACCAATTGTGATAGTAGCTTCAAGTCTTATGTTAGGGTCCAATGTTTCATCAGACATTAACTGAAGAAGACGCGGCACTACTCCTTGCTGTATCACTGAACTCTTCTGTCGGTTGCTGCCTATTACTGAATTCTTTAACGTCACTAAGGCTTCCACAACCTTTGGCGTATCTGATGAGTACAGCTCGTCGATATACGAACGTGAACTTTCAATATCCTATCGGCAAAATGTTTTAGGTTAAACACATAATAAATGATCAATCATAAGTTTAAACCACAACATCGGCATCATTAACTTACCATGAATACTGTTAATTGTTGCATGTTTTATCTCTAATTTACGCAGTATTGTTGGTAAAAATAACGTTCAAAATTTCTCCCGAGGCCGAATACGCTGTCAATTCGCCACCTGTCATTGAAGCTCCCGTTCGTCCACAGTCAATGAGTTTTTATTTTTTCATTGGAGCTGTATGTATGGGTGCGTTCTCAGTAACGACGTTAACGCCAGTGAGTAGTTTTTATTTTGTCTCTCAATTTCTCAATTCAACAATATGTCATCTCACTGAAATTACCAAACATATATAATAGAAGTATGATTATATTATTTTTTTAGTAACTACCCTTAAAACAATAATAAATAGCATATTAGTGCTGTGAACCCTTTACACATTAGTATGTCAATTGTCTATGATTATTATTTTGGACTTTGGACTTTGATGCACATTGCACTCAGGTGGAGTACTCTAGTTATCTAACAAAGAGTATAGTAATACATAGGGTAGTCATCTAGTAGTTTATTTGTTTATTTATCATTGAGATGAGAATTAAAGTTATGAATTTTACAATGTAATCCAATGATTTCTTCATTTTCATTTATGTTCACGTGAGACAACCTTACACCATATCACTTTCAATAAAAACAAATAAACAAACATAACAAAAAAAGTTGCATGTGATCGATGTTACAATACCAAAAAACTATCAGGTGAAACTTTGCGAAAGAAAGAAAGAAAGGAAACAGAAATATAAAATATGACAGCTCCTCGCCTAGTATAAACAAGTCGATTATAACTTTCTTCTACTTTGTTTTACGTTTAATTAATTATTTCCTTTAAAGTGCAAGTTTTATTAATTGTGGAAAAGAAGTTGACATAGAAAGTTTTAAATTGTCGAGATCATTGTTTTTACTTTGTGGTGAATAGATATTGGTATACCATGGCCGACTCTGGGGTAGATACCAGTAATGAGAGCAGCGATAATCCAATATTTGACCACTCCCAATGCATTTTAGAATTCAGCCCACCAGCTATACCCATAAATCAAGCTGGCCAGCCGATGCCAATAGACTTTTTGACAGAACCACACGAACATGTGGGAAAAATAAAGTGTTCTACTAAAGCCAGACAATACAGACTGAAATACAGGTACAGTGGTGCAAAATGTTCGTCCAAAAATCATAAATTACGTTTCGCCGCTTCTACTAATAATACAGAACTTGTGGAGAAACTTCTGTTATCAGGAGCTGACCCAAATTCTTCAGATGAACACAAAAGAAGTCCATTGCATTTAGCTGCCTGTCGTGGTTATGTCGACGTCATTAAAATCTTGTTAAGACATGGTGCTAACCCCAACATTAAAGATACATTGGGCAATACACCCCTTCACCTTGCAGCTTGCACCAATCACATTCCTGTTGTGATCGAACTTCTTGACGCTGGCACAGATGTCAGTTTGCACGACAAGAATGGACACAATCCTATACAATTAGCCCAGAGCAAACTGAAATTAATACAAATGCGTCCAAGTGGGGCTGGAAACTTTGAGGAGACGAAACACCTGATTGGAGAAATATGTTTAGTTGTTGAAATGATGCTGAAGTATATGAAGATGCAGAAAGCTGATGCTAGTGATTTGGAATCTGTCTGTCAAAGGCTAGAGCGTGTCAGTACCCGTGAACAAGTAGATTCTGAAGTACAAAACCTTTTGGACAGTTTAGATTCTCTCAAATTGAGATAATTGTTTAAAATTTTACAGATGTTTATGAAGACTGTTTTTGAATATAACTGTCTAAGATTAAGAGAGCTCAATGAAATGTTTAGATATTCTAAACTATTTTATTGATAAGATAAATTATGTTTATATTATAACTTTTGCGAGACATACTAAATTAATTATTATGTTTTTGGTTCTAGCTTGGCTTGAAACTAGCAGAGTTCCTCATCAAACAGTTATGTGTGTAAACCGAAAACATAATAATTAATTAAGATAAATAATAATGTTGAAATTTAAAACTTATTTTTTTGGCAATTTGTTATATTTAATTATTTATAGTCTATGTATGTAAAATTGCCATATAAGTTAATTGTAATCACAAAGCTATGATTTTGTAATGTGTGTTGGTTTTCATTATAATTACGTATTTTCTTTTGTAATGACTAACAAACAAGTCATATAGTAATAAGTATACTTTAGTAATTGATCAGATGAAGATTATAATAAAGAGTTATTACTATTTCCATATTTTTTATTCATATAAAACTCCAACAGCTTTGAAATGATCATTTATTGACAACAGTTTCATAAAATTGAAAATTATATAACTTTTATTCACAACATTACTCTTTAAAAATTTGCTAATATGCTACTGTATTTAAATCTAAAATTCTTACACTTGAATAAGTATTAAAAAGCCCAAAGACACCTAAAATTACGGAATGCACAAAAAGATTTGTCCGGTAACAAACAACTATGATATTAAGTAATATTTTATTTTAATGTGCAAATGAACACTATAAGTTGATACATAAAATAATTGTCTTGTGCAGAGAAGAACTAGTCATAGACAATACCACTGAAACAATGCTACTAGATATGTACACGGAACCTTACTTCTGTAATACTCTAACTCTATAGACAACAGCAGCACTTACTTTTGTACATTACATCTTTATATTTAAAAATGGACATAATTTATTTCAAAGTATAAAAAACTGGAATTATCACAAAGTTTAATCTTTCTTTTCATTCTATGGGGTTTTGTTAGACAGTTCTCATGTAATCAATGTTTATGAAATATGGCAGAATAGTTATTATCACAGAAAACATAATTGCTATAATAATAATTAATTAATACTGCTAAATAAATTACATTAAGTTATACCAGCAGTCCCAAACCAGTTTAACGTTAATAAATAAACTAAATTATATAAAAGAGTTGCTCCCCATCCCTATGTCCATAACACCAAAAGGCAAGTTATAACTTCAACTTCATAAGTATGGCAAGTTATATTTGTATTTACTAATTATCTGATTCATTTTGAACTCTTAAGATAACTATTATACAAAGCATGCAACAGCTTCAGTAAGTTGATTTGAAAAATTACTTTAACATAAAAGTAAGATTTTCTAAAATATTCTAAATGTTACCAAGAGAGCGTAAATTATGTTCTCTTTATCATTAAAATGCTATTATAAAGTATTACATAATTAATATAGTTTGCTTTGAGCTACACACTATTACTTAATACATTTTTACATTTAAAATAGTTATAAGTAACACGATTGCTGAAACAATAAATATCCTAAGTAGGAATAAAAGTGCAAACAATTGCTCTACAATTGAGCAAGTACTGTGAATGATCAATTCCTCATTACAATTTAAAATGAATGTATTTAGAGTGCTAACATTTGGCACTAATTCATTGTAGAAGTGTAAGCCTGGACTAGCAGCTATTTGCTCATATTTAGGCTCTTAATTCACTTACAAAATTATATCACATTTTCAGTTTTTGAACCAATCCATAACAAAAAAAATTTTAACATAAATCACAACATTCATGGAATGATCAACTCAATTGCCACCGCAATCAATAACTTTTGGTAAGTATTTAACAATATAATAAGATATCTCTCACACAACCATTAATTTACACCTTTGCTCGGAATCGTGATGTTCCCATATATTGCACATGCATCGGCTCGGTTATGGTTCCAATAATTATATCAGTCATTTTAAGAATACCTTTTACTTATTTACGCGGCGTTATTTCATTTCTGGCACTAATAAATTAATTATGTTTGGAAATATTTCAGCCTGTATGGGTCCGTATTCGACAATTTCACCGTCGACGGTGATGTTGCCGGTGGTACCCTCCGGAACTATTCTAAACGCACTGACAGGAACCATCTTAATGTATTCATTGTTCATATCGGCATGCGTGCCTTGGCCCACGCCCATCAGGAACGAGAGTAGTTGAGATCGAGAAATCCCTGCTTTGATGATTAACATCCACATGACTCCATCAGACAGCTGCGATCGCGGAGCAAATAAAAAGTCTTCACCAATGTAAGGTTGATAGGACACGTGCACCATGACGAACTCTCCGTGCTCGTGCACCCAGTGCGCGGGTAGCTGCGACATGAGTGAGGGCAGGTGGGATGCAGGCCCGTGCATGCACGCGTGCACCGGCGACCGCATCTCCGAGCCGCTACTTGTCACGCTGTGGTACTCCGACCCGCGAGTACTGTAGAACGCGCTCCTCCTTGAGTTGACCGAGTACCACGAATCCACCCTCTGATGTTGTTTCCCGCTAATAGCGTTCACGAACACTTCGGAATGTTCATCCGCATCAATGAACGCTTCCGCATCAGGGGAGTCGAGCGCACCGTCCTGGCTGATACTATGACTGAGGGTGAGCGGTTGTTTTGGTTTAGGTAGATTGCTCACATCCTTAATTTTCGCGTAACTCACTACACCTTTGTATTTTCTCAGTCCGACGAGTCTCGCTAGTGCCCAGACAGCGAACCTTTGGCCACCGATCGCTCGTAATCTTTCGCTTTCGATATCAATGTCTGATAGGAGGCCCCAGCCAACGGAAAGAAACGAAAACATAATCTGCGAAAAAAAGAACACTCATTAAATCAAACATTAAAAATAAACACAAGCGGATCTGTTGACGTCATATTATGGTCGAGAGAACTTGTTATTGTCGGTTAAAGGCCGGCTGGACCTCACAATTGGTTGGCGTTTGGGTTAACTTATAAGATAATAACAAGCGTAAATATCAACAGTGTCGTATCAACGTTGGGCTAATTGTATCCGTGAGGCGACCTGTTGTTTGTTGTGACGGACGTAGTCAATTCAATATTGTAACGTAACACAACCCACGGTGGTCGTGTTTTGTAGCACATTACATAAACTGCAACTCTCATGTATACTTACACTCGACTTTGTTTCGATTCGAACAACATCCATAGGTGCTGTTTCGCCCTTCACTATTCCCATCGTTATACCAGTCAGGTTCTGAGGAATGTACGGTTCACTGAAACAAAAGATTAATTTTATTTGAGCAATTATAAAGAGGGAAAGCATAGTTTAAAGACATTTTATTTCATAGCAAACATTTTACAAACAACACATCAAGGTATAGTAAAATCAACAAATGTATAGTTTTCCTCAAACAATGTTTTGGGTTTTTCCGTTAATCTCAAAGAAACCCCATAACATGTTGTAGTAATTACGGCCACATAATTTATCTCCCATAATTACGTTGTACGAAGATGATGCTTTACAACCGTAGTAATTTTCATATCGGACAATGACAGAAAAATATAATGTTATCTCTTTATCTATGGGTTCACATAAAACAACTATTTAAGCCATTTTTACTAGTGTATCTAAGAATACGGCCTTAATGTTTGAAGGATTGTAAACACAATTTAAACTGCGTGGATTTACGGAGACCAAAATCACAATGATGCGTGTAGTTGAGTATTAGACCTACTCATCATAAATTTTACTACAGGATAAAATTAATGTGAAAGTTTGTGAGGATGTATATTTGTTACTCTTTCACTCAAAAACGACACAACGGATCCGAGTGCAATTGACTTCTTACCTTGGTAACTCGACAGAAGTTAGTATTCAATAAATATTTGATAAATACCGATGTCTGTGAGAATTGAAAGTTGTGAAACAGATGGCATGGAAGAAAATACACTTCGATCGATATCTGATGATGTTGAATCTAATCTATGGTCAATACTATAAAAATTGTTAAAACTTAGTGGGTTAGTAGAACTCACACTTTAGTGGATTCATAGGAAACCTTACTACATATTAAGTGGCTTATATTTGTAGCCGAAGTTTACAATATTCAGGTGAACCGAATAGGACTATTGGCAGGAAAAACTTATAGTATTTTCTATAATACAAAACGCAGTATTACGATTACAGGAAAAAGTAAAAAGTTCAATGGTTCAATGACATCATGAGAAAAGATAAAATCAAGTCGTTTTCTCTGATGAGGTAAACGAAGGTTTATTGTATGGTTGTACCTTTACTGACTGTAAACCAATCTAGCTCTAAGACCATGTCGTAAGGCCTACTGCAATACGTCTTGTTCTTGTAATTTTATGAATGTATCTAATTCTTAGACAGCATTGTTGGTGCGGTGAATAAGCAACCGGCTGCCGAGCAACGTGTCGCGGTTTCGAATCCCGCACGGAACAACTCTTTGTGTGATCCACAAATTGTTGTTACGGGTCTGGGTGGCATTTGTATGTGAACTTGTATGTTTGTAAACGCACCCACGACACAGGAGAAAATTTTTAACACCAAATCGTACAATAAAGAAAGCTATCAAATCTTGGCTTGGCTTTAACAATATACATATCAACTCAAATTAACGAATAATGTTATTGGCTTCGCTGTTGATGATCTGACAATATGCAGTCAAATAGTCCTAGGTAACCAGCATTCAAAATTATGCCACTGCGTCACAAGTCAACGTTGCTATCGGTGTTACCTATTTAAGTCAAAATTGCCATTTATGAATTTTATAGCTAACCGTGAAATACGATTCCCATTTATTTTATCAACAAAATAAAAGTTTAGTTAATATTTTCTAAGCAGACATTGTCTATGAAAATACATCCAATATAAGTAAAACGTATGATGAACTAAGAATAAAAGGTATTTGCATGACCTCAAGGTTTTGCATAAGAATAACAAATGG